TGAAGATGCAAAGGCATATAAGTCACTTGTATCTCAACAACGGGTCTTTACCTTCCTCCTAGGGCTGAATCCTTCATATGAGTCCATTAGGGTGCAGATCTTGGGTAGTAAAGACTTGCCATCAGTTCAGGAGGTGTATGCCTTAGTGCAGTTAGAAGAGAGTAGAAGAAGTGTGATGAATTGTGCAGAGGGGGAATCAGTTGCCCTAGCTGTCCGGGGAAATTCAGATACAAATGTCGGAGGTGCTTTTAAGAAAGGTGATTCTTAGAAGAGAACAGATGATAAGAGTAGACTTTGGTGCATTCACTGCCAGCAGACAAGACACACCAGAGATACATGTTGGGATCTCAATGGAAAACCTAAATGGGCACAGGATTTGGGTAAGAAGTCAACACTTGATCAGGGCAAGAAACCAAATCAGCAGAATCAGAAAAAGTATAACTCAGCTAGTATGGCATCTCAAGAGACTAGTCCATTGGTAACTCAGGAGAGGCATCCCAGTTCTGACCCTAAGGAAGAAATTATCAACTCCTTTCGTGACCATTTGRAATTGTWYGRTAGGACTCTCCGCCAGATGGATTCTGGTCCTACTCCCTCTACCTCTTTCGCGTCTACATCAGGTAACGCTGCCACTGCCTTCCATGTGTCATCTCATGCCATTGATTCTCCTTGGGTTATTGACTCTGGAGCCTCAAACCACATGACCGGTAAGTCAAATTTATTTCAGACATATAACCTTCTCTGGGAGAGATAAGGTGAGACTAGCTGATGGTTTTTTCTCTACCATAGCTGGCCAAGGCACTATACCTCTCCACTCGGCCTTACCCTTTCTAATGTACTGCATGTTTCGAAATTACCTATAAATTTGATTTCCATTAGTGGTATTACTCACTCCTTGAACTGTTCAGTCACTTTCTTTCCGTCTTCATGTGTGTCTCAGGATTTGGCCTCGGGGAAGGCGATTGGTAGAGGAAGCATGGTGGATGGTCTCCACGTGTTGGAGAATAAAGCTGGTCTTGTGGCTACAGAGTCCATGAGTTCGTCCAGTGAGAGTTAAGCCTATTTATGGCACAGTCGCCTTGGTCATCTTTCCTTTGAGTCATTAAAAGTTATGTTCCAAAAGTTGTTTGAGTCATTGTCAGTGAGTCAGTTACAGTGTTAGACATGTCAATTGAGTAAACATTGTAGAAGTTCTTTTCCTTTGAGAAATAAAAGATCTGAATTTCCATTTCATATTGTTTATTCTGATGTTTGGGGCCCTGTTACTCTACCTATTGAGGCTAGATATAAGTACTTCATTACCTTGATTGATGATTACTCTAGATACACTTGGGTTTACCTTATGCGATCTAGAGATGAAGTGCCAAAATTTGTGAAACTTTCAACGCATGGTGTTCACTCAGTTCCAAATTGAAGTCCATATCTTCCAGTCGGACGATGCGAAGGAATACTTCCATAGTGATCTCACGGAGTTTTTTGCTTCGAGTGGGTCACTTCAACGAAGCTTTTGTGCCAGGATACCCCAACAAAACGGTGTTGCTGAACGAAAGAACCGTCACCTTCTCGAAGTAGCTCGTGGCTTATTAGTTCATACGAATGTGCCAAAACGTTTTTGGATGGATGCAGTTTTGTGTGTTACATACATCATCAACCGTATGCCATCTTGGTTACTAGAGTATAAGGCCCCACATCAGCTTCTGTTTCCTACAGCTCCGTTGTCCACCATTCCGATGTGTCTTTTTGGGTGACGTTGCTTTGTCCATAACTTGTCCCCTACTCGAGGTAAGCTTGATCCTCGAGCTATTCCTTGTGTTTTCCTTGGTTACCTTTTATCTCAAAAGGGGTATCGTTGCTATGATCCTACCTCTCGCAAGTATTATGTCTCCATCGATGTATCCTTCTTTGAGAATCAACATTTCTTCTCGGTTTCTCCTCAAGGGGAGAGTAGGGTTGAGGAGAAACAGGCGGCTCAAACTCAACTACCTCCTCTACTCGATCCTCCTCCATTCCGTGTCTTTCATCTTCACCATAAAAGCCAGCAGAGTTCAAGAGCCGTGGAACCTGACACTATGCAACCAACACCATCGGATTCGACAAAGGCAGATCCTTCTCATCAGCCAGGTACAATTGCTCCTATTGATATGCTTGTTCCTCTCAGTATTGATTCCCCTGTCATTAATGATCTTGATGTTTCTATTGCTAAGAGAAAGGGTGTTAGATCTTGTACCACTAATCATTCTATCTCTAACTTTGTGTCCTATGATCACATTTCACCTTCATTCTGTGCATTCCTCTCTTCTGTGGACAGTGTTCCCGTTCCTAAGAATGTGGCAAAAGCTTTATCCAAACCTGAATGGACAGATGCAATATAGGAAGAAATTGATGCATTACACAAAAGTGGCACTTGGGAGTTGGTGGATCTTCCTGAAGGGAAGGAACTAGTGGGTTGCAAGTGGGTGTTCACAGTGAAACACAAGGCTGATGGAACTATTGAAAGGTACAAGGCTAGACTAGTAGCAAGAGGTTTTATACAAGTATATGGAGTGGACTATGTAGAGACTTTTGCTCCAGTAGCCAAGATGAACTCTATCAGGATTCTTCTTTCATTGGTAGCAAATATTGATTGGGAACTTCACCAATTGGACATCAAAAATGCTTTCTTGAATGGTGACTTGGAAGAGGAAGTGTACATGACCCAATCTCAAGGTTTTTGTGCCAAAGGCAGTGAACAAAAAGTGTGCAGGTTAAAAAAATCTTTATATGGGTTGAAACAATCACCTCGGGCCTGGTTTAGTAAGTTCCACTTAGCAGTTCAATAGATGGGGTTCAAACAATGCCAGTCATATCACACTCTATTTGTAAAAAAAGGTGAAGGGAAAACTGCAACTCTAATTGTGTATGTGGATGACATAGTGATCACAGGAGATTGGGAGGCTGAAATACAGAGATTAAAAAAATTCTTAGCCACTCAATTTGAGGTGAAAGATCTAGGCCCCTTACGTTATTTCCTTGGAATTGAAGTTGCCTGCTCTCACAAGGGCATCTTTATTTCCCAACAGAAATATGTACTAGATCTACTAGAAGATACATGCAAGTTGGGGGTAAAA